AGTCTCCTGCCTCAGCCTCCCAAGTAGCTGGGACCACAGGTACCCAACACAATGCCCGACTATTTTTTGGTTGCAGCTGTTGTTGTTGTTTGGCGGGCCCGGGCTGGATTCAAACCCGCCACCTTAGGTGTATGTGGCTGGCGCTTTAGCCACTTGAGCCACATTAGATCATGTAGCAATTCTAAAGTCCATATGAAAATCTGAGATTGTTTTTGCTCATTTAGAACAATTGACTATTCAGACATCCTTGTGACTCAAGACAGAGAGAAGAATAAATGAAGGATGGGATGGACCTTATGGGGGCCTACATACCAAGTTTGCACCAAGGGCTATATGAGCAGTTACCAATCAAGCCACATCATACCACCCATCCTCCCTAGAGCAGCAGGGGCTAGGGCAGTCAGAAAAGGCTGAGCAAGGGCCAGGTGCAGTGGCTCACAATGTAATCCTAGCACTCTGGGAGACCAAGACAGGTGGATTGTCTGAGCTCACAAGTTCAAGTCCAACCTGAGCAAGAGCGAGATCTCATCTCTAAAAATGGCCTGGCGTTGTAGTGGGCAACAACAGTGGGTACTACAGCTGGTACCTATAGTACCAGCTATGTGGGAGGCTGAGACAAGAGAATCACTTGAGACCAAGAGTTTGAGGTTGCTGTGAACTATAACACCGGGTACTCTACTGAGTGACAAGTGAGACTCTGTCTCAAAAAAAGAGAAAATGCTGAGCAAGCCCAAACTTCCTCTTTCTCCTCCTGTCAGATCCCCTGCGTAAGGCTCCCAGGAAAAGATACTGGATCCTTGACAGCCTCCACCAAGACCAATGGCTGCCTACCAACATGTCCCAGAATCAGAAGAAAAAAAATTACACAATGCAAAAATTAGAAACAATATTTATTGTTTCCTATTAAAATAGGGTGCTTTCATGAGAAAAGAGTGTGCAAAAAGAGACTTCCTACACCCTGAGCTTTCTCTCTTATCCTACCAGGCTACAACTGTCTTCACTGTGTAGGAGGAAAAGTTTTCCACCTACTCTTGGGAAATTAGGCTACTCTAGTTTTACTTTTGATTACTTGCATGTGTAAAAAATAAAATAAAAGTCCAACGGTTAATAAGCTATCTGTTCTTAGGCATATATGCCTAGTACACTTGGAAAAACAGTATAGGCCTCACGTCCACTTCCCCATGTGCAGGCCATAATTAGATGGCACCCTGGAAATTAGATGGGTATTCCTGGCTAGGGATTGAAGAAGGCCCCAGCTCCTGGTCAGCTGTTTGAAAACATGCAGAGTGCCTCCAGTGAGAAACTGAGATTACCTCTTTAACAAAAAATATTTGGGGTATAGTAAGACCAGCAGTCAACTACTAGACAGCATTCTGGCTATAGGACAGTATTTGGTCGAGAAGCTACTTTTCCATCTCCAAACCCTCTTGGGATCCCTTATATTGACAAGACTAAATTCAGGTTTCAAAATGGCACACCAAGTTACACAAGGTAGAGGATGTCATTAAGGCAACGGTCTCACCAAGTCATGCACAGAGCTCTGATCCCACCATCCCCCTCCCCTCACCCTTCAGGACTGCTGAGTCCCCTGCCCATTACTCTTCCTTTCAGCATCCAGAAGCCTCAAGCAGTCTTCAGCCTCACAAGTTGGGGGTGGCCCAATTAAGGAACTTCATGGCAACTTCAAAACCAAGGAAGCAGGCCTGAGAAACGGTTGGGAGAGAAAAAAGCCAGCAGGAATGTGACTATTCATAAATCCCACCCACTGCCACCCCAGCACCAGACTTGGTTGGCCCTATTCAGAACAAAAGTCTATTCCCACCCTAGATCTAGGATTTAAGCTGTGCTCTCTCATTCTTTTTTTTTTTTTTTTTTTGAGACAGAGCCTCAAGCTGTCCCCCTGGGCAGAGTGCCGTGGCATTACAGCTCACAGCAACCTCCAGCTCCTGGGCTCAAGCGAGTCTCCAGCCTCCGCCTCACAAGTAGCTGGGACCACAGGCGCCCACCACAACGCCCGGCTATTTTTTGGTTGCAGCTGTCATTGTTGTTTGGCAGGTCCAGGCTGGGGATTCGAACCCGCCACCTTAGGTGTATGTGGCTGGCGCCTTAGCCGGTTGAGCTTAAGCGCCGAGCCATGCTCTCTCATTCTTAAGAGGAGAAAAAAATGCATATCCTACACTGCCTGCTTCTGAGGGCCAGGTCAAGAAATCAAAGCCCTTCACCTCAGAGATCCCCAAAGGCAAATCCACCTAGACAGCTTTAGGAAAGGGAACAAATAAGGAGAATCTGGCTGAGGATAGTGTTTTGGGAAACTGAGTCCCCAGTCAATTCCAACAGCAAGCAAGACAGCCCATCTACCCCTGTCCTGAGCCCCAAATAGAAAGCACATTCTCTGCAAGCTAATACTCACTGCATTGGCTGGGAAGGCTCGGATCATCACTGCATTGAATCCCTTGTATAAGGACGTGATTCCTTCATCCCGGATCAGCTCCCTTAGCACATCTCTAAAACCATTAGGATATTTCCCAGGAGGTGCTGGAGGACAGAATCCAATGTGTAAGTCTTCAGGAAGTTTCCTGACCTAACCATGGCAACACACCTAGGGAGAATCTAGTAGTTAAGTCTTCCTGCAGGATCAGGGTCAGCACCAGGGAGAGGACACTTTGCAGGTGATGTGAGACCAGGACATAAATAACACAATTTGCCGCAGGACAAATAAACAAATATTGAATTTACTATTGCCAAGAGAATGGAAAAGAAGAATAAAGAATGAAGCAGCCCTTCTGTTCATTAGGGGAAAAGAGAGTAGATTTGACTTCTTATCTCACTTATGTGTGTTTACACTGACATGAAAATAAATCTAGAGTTCCCAAAACACAAAAGACTATGAGGGAGAATGCAGGTCTAAAAGTTGTTGGGTGCTGCCATGGATAGTCAGTGTCCCTAGGGCCTTAAGAACTCTGCATCCCAGGAGTAGCCAGTGCTGGGACTGACTCTGTCATCCACTACCCTCCACTCACCAGTCTGGAAGCGGGACTTGAGCACATCTGGGGGAATTGCCACAGCCCAGTTGAAGATCCCCGCAATGCCCCCAGCCAACAGGATCCGAGGAGCACTTAGTTCACTCACCCTGCACAACACCAACCATATCCCCAATCAGACAAATGCTGTGAGACTGGTATTCAGACAATCCTTCCTGTGGCAAACAGGGAAGTTACACAGAAGGATAAATTGGCTATAGGGAGGTAGTATGAGGCCAGAACCCATGATATTGCAGCTGCCACTCCTTGGAGGTTTCATGCTCCTGTTTCAAATACTTGCTCCAATGAGTGATGCACAGAGTACAAGAAGCTAGCTGGACCTCAGCAGCCATGAGGAAAGTGGGCATGGAGCCAAGAAAAAGTCCCAGTTCTGCTTTCAGACCTACCACAGGAGAGGGCAACCCACCCATGACTGGGGAAAGGGGTTTCTAAGTTCTTCCGTTCTCCTTACCTCTTTCCCTCTGGAGTAAAGATATTTTTCAGCCATTCATAAGTCATGAAGTACATTCCACTGGCTGGAACATCTGTTAGTGGCAAGAACAAGGTGAAGTAAGTATGTAAAATCCTCACAGATTTCTTAAACTTAGAAGAGACAAGTTCAGCACTAGAATCTTCAAGGTTTCCTGAGAAGTTCCTTAGCAGTCATATCCTATTTGTAGTAACCACTTTGCAGCTATGAGATGCTGTTCTGCACAAAGCACTGGTATGAGTGCCATACATATGACATAATTTCATCTTTCTTTATTTTTTTTATTTTTTATTTTTTTGCAGTTTTTGACTGGAGCTAGGTTTGAACCTGCCACCTCCAGCATATGGGGCTGTGGGGCTGGTGCCTTATTCCTTTGAGCCACAGGCACCACCCAAGACATAATTTCATCTTTAAACTCTCCTCTGAGTGGTCACCACCAACATGCCCACACCAAGCAGTTACTTCCACAGCTAGTGTATCTGGCTTTCCTCCAAGCCGCCATGTCAGGACAAGAGTGAGACTATCTCCACCTCTCCTACTGTCACTCCACCAAGACATGCCTCTCAAAAGCAAGAAGAAGCCCACTTTCCCTCAGTCACTCTTCATAGTCATGCCTCCATCCATGATTGACTTGCCACTCCTCTACAACTACCACTGTCATGAATTGCACCTCTACAGACACTCAGGAAGGACAGAAGGTCCCCAATCTTCATCTATGTCCATGCTGGCCAGGGTGAGACTGCCTAAAATCAGACACTCACTGCCAGTATTGTCAGAGCTATGACATGAATTATGCCAAGGCTAATCTGGTGAAGCAGGCAAGACCATCCTTAGGTGACCTCAGGTGGAAGTCCTCAAAGGTTACCTCGCATGAGGGTGAGCAGAGTCCCCTTGTAGATGCCTCGGATCCCAGACTCTTGGTACAGCTTCTTTGCACAGTCCAAGGTACCAGTGTACTTAGTTTCCCCTGAAGAAGCCTGAATCTGAGAGGGAGGTGGTAGTCATCAAGTCAGAACAACAACATCAAAGTCAGCAAACGCAGCAGATCATGGACAATACAAAGTGGTCATTATGTGTTAGAGCAATGAAAGACCTCACTGTCAAATTGATAAATATTTAGAACATGTACTATTAAGGAAGGCACTATGAACAAGGCTAGGTAAAATTAACACAAAACATACTGGCCAGGTGCGAGTAGACTACCTGAGCTCATGCGTTCAAGACCAGCCTGAACCAGAGTGAAACCCTATCTCTAAAAATAGCCGGGCATGGTAGCAGGTGCCTGTAGTCCCAGCTACTTGGGAGGATGAGGCAAAAGAATCACTTAAGCCCAAGAGTTTGAGGTTTCTGTGAGCTGTGACACTACTGCACTCTACCGAGGGCGACAAAATGAAACTCTGTCTCCAAAAAAAAAAAAAAAATTCACATAATGACTAGAAAAAAAAAATCAAGAGAAAAGTTGAAAAACTAGTTGAGGATATCTCCCAAACATAATAAAACTAGCAGAAGGTCTAGAAAAAAAGCAACAAATACTTATTCCTTCCTCACATATACACTTAGCACCAAATGCATTCCAAGTCTAGCTGGTCATGAGACTTGCCTTGGTTAAGTAGGTGAATAGCAATAGGCATGGTGGCTCACACCTGTAATCCTAGCACTCTGAAAGACTGAGGCAGGAGGGTCATTTGAGCTCAAGAGATTGAGACCAACCTAAGCAAGAGTGAAACCCTGTTTTGCACTAAAAATAAAAAACTTAGCCAGGTATCCTAGCATATGCCTATAGTTCCACCTATTCAGGAGGCTGAAGCAGGAAGACAACTTGAACTCCAGGAATTTGAGGTTGCAACAAGCTATGATGATGCCATTGTACTGTACTCAGAGCAACAGAGTGAGATGCTATCACCAAAAAATGGAAAGAAGGAAGAGAATGAGAGGGGAGGGGAGGGGAGGGAAGGGAGAAAGGTGAACTGGCTGGAATGGTGGCTCATGCATGTACTCCTAGCACTTTAGGAGGCTGAGGGGGGAGGAATGTTTGAGGCCAGGAGTTCAAAGCCAGTTTGAGCCTAATAGTAAGACCTCAAGTCTACAAAAAATAGAAAAATGAGCTAGGTATAGTAGCATATGCTTGTAATCTCACTAAGGCAAGAGGGTCACTTGAGTCCAG